ACTTGATATATTCTCTTGATGAATTTACTTTTAATTTCATCAATAGACTATAAAACAATGATCAATGTTCTTAATCGAAATAGTTTTATTGTTTAATATTAAAATATTTGTTTAGGTTGATTTACGTGCTTCATCATTAAATTCAAATGATTGTTTTGTTCTATTTACTTCACAATGTGTTTACATATGGTGTGGTAAAGGATCAACAGGTGATGAACGTGAAATGTCAAAAGTTGTAGCTAGTTCAAAATCGAAGTAATAATATCATAAAATAAATTACAATAAAATCTTTTTCTTTTTCTTTTTCTTTTCAAGAGAACCAATTATGGTATTTGAAGGACAAGAAAAAGATGAATTTTGGAGTCATTTTCCTTCGGGAAAAGAACCATATGCATCTGATAAACGTCTTAGTGAACATCAATCATCATTAACTAGTATAAATGATCATCCGGCAAGACTTTATGAAGTATCAAATGCTAGTGGACGTACAACTGCTATTGAAATTCCTAATTTTACACAGGTACAAAAAAAAAATGAAATAAATACTTTGATTTCATGATGAATTGAATATTCAAGTAATTTAAATTTATTTGAAACGACAACGTTTATGTCTTTTCCTTCGACATTAATTTCTCATGTATTGTATTTGATATTTTCGTTAGGGACAGACTATTGTTTTTTTCCCTTAAGTTTGATGAAAAGCTTTCAGTTTCTCAAAAATTTTGAGTGAATCTTATTTTTTCAACAAATTGCATAAAGATTCAAATTACTAAACCTCGAACATCTTTGATTAAATTTTTATATAAAATTATTATTTTTGAAAAATAACCTTGCTTTAACGAAAATATCAAACTCACAAATTTTCTATTATTAGTTATTTAGTAATATTACAGTCACTTGCCTTCGCTCTAATTCTAGTCGAATGCCTAAACAATATCAACAATAACCTAGTTAAGAATTATTTAGATTTCGCGTAGAGACTAAAATCGAAAATGCGAAAATACAGTTTGAAAGACTAGACTTACAAGAAAAAAAAAATTGAATCGAACTAAAACTGAAGCCAAAATTAGAAAAAAATGAATTATGCTTATTATAATTCATGACAGATAATTGCCAGATTCATAAACGCTGAGTCTCCAGAAATCAACGACCTTGTTTTCAGTATGTAGAATGAACAAATTCAATTTTGTTTCGATTACATATATCGATAGAGCAAACAATTCTTTACAAAACAAGACGTCTTGAAGTTCTGTACGATCTTTTGTGGTTGGAATACAACAATTTTACGGAAGCCTATAAAGCCAGGTTTTTACTATTTTATGTGAAAAATTCAATTTTTTTATCTTCAACGAAGCTGTTATATTTCAGCTAAAAAGAGTCGTAGAGAATTCAGAGACGTCTCATTTTGTAGGGAATTGTGTGATCTATTGATGTCTGTGCATTCTAGCTACTAAAAAGATTAGATTTTTGATTTTCTAGAGACTCCGATTTTAAGAATATGGTAATCACTCTTATTTTCTTTTATATATATATATATGTATGTATATAGTTTTCTCTATTCAAATCATTAATCGGATTGTTTTTAGCGTTTAAGACAATGGAAAAAATTGAAATTAACTTTATTGAATAATTTTAGTAGTCACTATTTGTACTGATCGTAGAAATCGGTTTCAATGTTTAGAAAAAAATGATCTTTTTCAGTATGAATTGAATATATAAAAGATAAATTTTAGGCTGATCTTGATGAAGATGATGTAATGCTATTGGATGCATGGACAAGTATATTTTTATGGATTGGAAAAAGTCAGAATATAATTTAAAGATTTTGTTTTTCTTGATTTTCGTAAAAATAAAATTTTAGATTCAAATAAAACAGAAATGAAAGATGCTGAACGAATTGCTTATGATTATTTACGTACTGATCCAAGTCATCGTGATTCAGATACGCCAATTATAAAAACCAAACAAATGTATGAACCTATACATTTTACTGGTTTTTTTGGTCCATGGGATAGAAATTATTGGACAGTAAATAATCTTTTTGATTTCACGAAAAAAAAAATTCTTTTGAACTTCTTTCTTAGTCAAAATCATCATATGAAGCAACAAAATCAATGTTACAGGCTAATAATCGACCTGAAATATATGCTGAACTCATACGAGAAAAACCAGTAAATAATACAGTAAAAAAAAGCAAAAAAAAATTAGTTTTCTTTTTATTTAGAAACAAAACATTTTAAATCGAGCAACAGTAACTAAATATCCATATGAATTATTATTAAAACCAGCCGATGAATTACCTGAAGATGTTAATCCTGAATTACGAGAAGTAATAAAATCTATCAACAGATTTTTCTTTTGTATCATTTAGTTATCTTATTCTTCTATCATATCTGTTGATAACTAATATTTCTCATTGCCATATTCTTTTAGTACTTCATTAAAACTCTCATTTATCTCTCAATGATATAGAATTAATAATCTCTCCTACTTGAGAAACATGAACGAATCAAAATTCCTGTCTCAACTAATACTAAGTGATGTTTATAACAGGATGAACTGATAAACATTAAAGGAAGTCAAAAGCAAAGTCACGTTTTTTTTTTTGTAGAGTAACACATGCAAAACAACAAATAAATGGTATGACATTGTCAGCTAGTAAAACTAGTAAAAAATACAAAAAAAAAGAAATCTGCAGTAGCAAATACTCAATATGTCATAAAAGAGACGGAACAAATTGGATTATAATAAACAATGTCTACATAAAAAAAAATATTTTTTTATTAAGATTTGAATCATGCGTCTGTTTATTTAATTTATCGTTTCATATAAGAAAAGCCATATTTTTCTTTTTCTTTTTAAGAGTATAAAGTTAAAACAAGAAGAGTGATCTTAGTAAAAAATCAGAATAAATTTACTCATACATACATTTCTCAATTTCCTCCTCGGGCAGATCTAATTTAATATATATATATATAATATTCAAATCGAAAGAAAATTTCTTATAATTCATAAAAATATTTATTCTCTATTTTGAGTCATCGTTCAAAGAAAACTCATAAATTAGTTCATTGAAGTAAATAAGACTCGGTTTATTTTTGCTTTTGACAATATAACAACGCAATAAATCATAAAAAGCTTCATTGCATTTTATACGATTCCTTGACATCGTAGAAATCTTAATGTAATAGTCAAATTTTAATAGAAAAAAAGCAATAAAAATTTGCATATATATATTTTTTTTTTTCATTTATTTATTGATAGGTTCATTTAAACGATGATGAATTTCTTCAACGTTTCAAAATGACTTATGCTGAATACACATCAAAACCAGTCTGGAGACAGAAAGAATTGAAAAAAATGGCAAAATTATTCTAAATTAATAAAAAAAAAAATAACACTTTAATTTCGTTTTTTTCTGCTTCAATTTTGTTTGTGTTCGTTTTCTATATGTGCCATATAAATATATATATATATATATAAACATTTATTTGTTAAAAAAAAATTAATCATATTTATGTGTTTATATATTTGTCAGTAATTATTATGAATTTGACAAGAAGAAAAAAAAAGAATTATATTTGTGTTCTTTTATTATTCAAAAAAAAAAACAAAGAAATAAAAAAAAGCTATAGATTTTTTATTTGAAGAATTAAAAAGTGAATTCTATATTGAACATTCATCTTACAATAACGAAAAAGTAAGGCTTTGTTTTTTGAAGGTTATGAACGCAAATAACATCACATTCGGGTACTCGTTTCGCATTCTGCATTTCTTTGAGAAGTACAAAGATTGAGTGCAGTTTTTTCTCCATTGATAGTCGACGATTCTCGGTCGAATTGACGTCAGCAAGATACTTTAGGTAGCTTTTTTTTTTCTTTGTCTGTGTCTATACACAGAATAAGAAAAGAATAAGAAAAAAAAAGAAGAAGCATGCCGAGGCGACGATGAATGACAAAAAATCGCTTCACATAAATGACATTCATCTCATCTGCAATCCTAGATAGGAAAATATATATTGTACACAAAAAAGAGAGAAATAGTTTGATCGATTATGTTTGAAAAAACTATACGTTCTACGTAAGTTCTCAATTATTACTTGAAATTATTTTTGTTGATAATACTATTCTATTCTTTTTGTTTTGTTCACTTCCTCATTGATATTAGTTTACCAGTTATGCACATAACTAGGTGATACTTGCTTGATATCTTATTAGTGAAAGGAATAATATACACGCTTTGTTTTACTTTTTCATAAGATAAAGAAATAAAAAAAAAAGAAAATATTTGGTTTTTTACAGGTAAATATTCACAATTTTTAAACATTTATTCTACACACGTGATATTTATCATATAAGATTTTTTTCATCAATAAGCACAAAATTTTCTTTGTTATTTTCTTTATATGTTTTATACAACGAACATTTTGACATAATATATTTTTAGATTTGTGTTTTTATTCGTTGATTCTTAATTGTTTTTTGTTGTTTTGTTCGATATTAACCATGTATTCTAATAATAATGATGCAAAAGTTGTTTCAATGGAAGTCACTAGTGTTTCGGATTTGTCATCAATATCACATAAAAAAATCAAAACAGGACGAGGATCTTGTGCTGTATGTGGAGCTAAACCAACGGGAATTAATTTTGATGTATTGACTGTAAATAGAATTATTATTTTTTGTTTTAGTTTTCTTTAAATATTTTATTTTTATATAGTGTTCATCATGCAAAGCCTTTTTTCGACGGAATGGTATTAAACCATTGGTAAGTCTTATACAACAGTTATTTTCAATAAAAAAAAAAACCAATTATTATTTTATAAACGTATATATATATATATTCATTCTTTTGGAAAGATCTTTACAATAGACGATACATTTAATTTATCTGTAAAGCAACATTTTCAATATGACTAATCAAGAAAAAAAACATAGATGCTTGAATAGACAAAAAATAGAGACATTATTTTGATAAAAACTTATTTAATTGGAAGTATGACTTATCATTTCACATGGTAATTTAGAGAATAATGACAAAAATAGTTTGTCTACTTTCAAAATAAATGTTATTAAAAGAAAATGAAGAATTTCTTTTTTGTTTTTAATAATAAAACTTATGAAATATAATGTACCTATTTTTTTAGGATCAATTTATTTGTCGTTTATCTGGTGAATGTAAAATCGATGAACGTTCACGTCGTCAATGTACAGCATGTCGTTTAAGAAAATGTTTTGCAATGGGAATGGTTAAAGAACGTATACGAACAGAAGAACAAAATCAACGTCATCGTGCACTAGTTCAAGAAAATCGACGACAAAAATTTAAAAAATATCAACAACGACACGAAGAAACAAGATTAGTATGTTTAATTAAATATTTTCAAATAATTAATTAATTAATTAATTTTGTTTTTTCTAGAAAATTCCTGAAAAACATCATCATCATCATCAACTTGTTTGTTCAACATCATATTTATTTTCCAATAGTCATTTACATTATATTGATTTAATATTTGATTTATTTATTGAAAGTACACAACAAATGATCCCAGAAGATTTTAATTTTAATTATGATTATGATTTAACAAATGTTCTTAATTTATATTGTGCACCAATATCATGTTTAATTATGGTTTTTAAACAATTATCTCAATTTCAACACTTACCTGTTGATGATAGACTTATACTTTTAAAAAATAATATTAAAATTCTTTTACCAATTTTAACACATTTATTAAATACAACTCTTGATATACAAATTCTTGTTAATCATCCTGGTCCACATCATATTAATAATAAAATAGCATATGCTAGTTCATTATTTGAATATATTGCACCAGATGATAATAAATTATTAATACTTTTAATTGTTGTCTTTCTTTTTTGTCCATGTTTATTTACAAATGAATCATTATATGATGCCGGTTATATTAATAATCATTCAAGAAAATTAATACAATATGCATATGATGAATATATACAATTATTATGGTATTATATTCTTGAAAAATCTCTTGATCATGAAAATCAAGCTGTTTTAACATATATGAAAATAGTGACAACATTTTTGCATTTACAAAATGTAACCAGTGAAATTTATGGTATAGTCGAATGTTCAGTTCAGGCTGATCAATTACATATGATAATGCAATCGATTTTACATTTAACATAGAAAACAAAGAAATTCTGTTTTGTTTTGTTTTGTTTTTTATTATTTTTCATTGTTGATTTTAAATTTATTTTGTTTTTGTATTTGTAAATTAGGATCAATACTGATTTAAAAATCTATAATGTATTTTCTCATTTATTATGTACCAGATCTGGTAGAAATTTTGCAATATTCTTTTTTTCTTGCAAATATTCGAACACGAAAGAATTTATGTATAGATGATTTCAATTTTTCTATCAGAAGAATAAAGAATTTAATTCTTTGCAAATTCCTGTTAGCTTTAATTTCAAATAATGAAATAAAAAAAAATGACTGCATAAACTATGTTAGGCAATTCAATGAATGGCATTTACTTCCTACACAAACTGTATTTATGATTCTTGTCAAGTTTTAAATAGATATTTAAGAGGTATGATACTTGTAATTCAATTTCATGTTAAATGCACTTTCAAATTTATCTTTGAATGTTGGATAAAAATTTACATTTGCTTAACAAAACTCGTATATCTCGACATCTGCAATTAAAACAGCCTTTATTTTGTTTTTTCTTACAGTCTTTCAACTTGTTCAATTGATTCGTTTTTATCAAATACTATTTAAGCTCTGCATAATAAGAAAAAACTAATTGTCTAGAAAATTCTCCAAAAATCAAGTTGATTTTACAATTAGCTAATATAAGCATCATGTTATACATAATTGATAAAGCCTTTCGAGCAGTCGCTTATGTTTTACAAGTTAAATATTCCTTTACACAAAAAATTATATTACTAAAATCACATCGGAAGTAGATACTATTCATCGAATTAAATACTATCATCTACAAAATTTTTATTGCTCCATCGTTCTATATTAAAGCTAACAAAAGTTTATAGAAAATTGAATTCTGTATCTTCTGACAGAATAGTTAAAATTATATATTTATTTCGTCATTTAAATCTTTGCACAAAAATGTTTTTCATATCCCAACATATTTTTATTCTGAAGAAAATATTTTCTGAAATATATATATATCGAATATGAAAGTATTCTTGAAAATCACTCTTCTCTTTCCCTTACAAAATATTATATCTTTATAGACTTGATTAAGCATTTAAATAGAAAATTAGACTCATAATTATTGACATTTGCAAGGTTTATGTTTAGATTAAGTGGTAGCCATTCAAATTTTTGTTTATATGAGGCATTATAAATACTTGACAGTTCGAGTGTCGCCAAAGAAAAAAGACCTCTGTGACATAAGAAGGTCAACTGTATTGTGAAGAGTCAATGTGAAATTTTCCAGACACTTCATATGTCTCAAATGTACAACTAGAAATTAACAAATAATATAATGACTAAAGTTTAACATTTTAATTTTGCTTCATTGCAAAACTCTAATAAATATTTTAATACTTAAAACAGTAGAAAAATGAGAAAGATTATAATAAGTAAAAAAAAAAATACACAATATTATGTAAACTTAAATTCGTTTTCATAATGAAAAAAAATATAAAGTATAGTTTATTTGCTTTAATAAAATTGCTTTCAAGCAAGGTATATAAACATCTTCTATTATTCATAGTTATACTAATATCATAGTGACTCTTTTAATAGAACTACGATTATCAATATAACTGATACGAAATTAAAGTCATATTATTATCATGAGTAGAATAAATTTAATATGTAAAATCTTGAAAATTATCCATAATATATATAAAAAGTTTCTTGTCAACATTCTACACATAACAATATGAACATTATTCGGAATTCGATCAAAATTATCTAATTGATCAGTTATTAATTTTTTTCCAATAAGAAGAAAATATGTCAAAGACTGATACTATGCATTCAACTATCATAACGGATAAAATTTTTTTTGCAATATTAATGATAATAAATGACTAATTTTTAAATACAAAAATAAGTTAAATGAATATTGAAGTTGCTTTTTCTAATAAAAAGACGATCTGGATGCGCTTCTCTACTTTTAAAAAAAATTTCAAATCATTGACTTGAACTTTTTTCAATTTTTATAATTTACGTATGTATGAATTCATTGAAAAAAAATTTTACATCAGTCCCTAATTACATTTTAGTATGGCGAATGTTTTGTAATATCTTTCTTGCCATTTTAACTCTATGTTGTTGAAATAGAAAAACTACTTTGAGAAAATATTCTTTCTACTTATAATGACATTGTAGAAATCGTCAAAATCTTCCTTGTCAATTTGTTTAATGATTTGTATTTAATTGATTGATTAATGAAAATGAATCTATTCGAATTATTATCATTATTACTAAAATAATTAGTAATTTCATTTTTGATAAATGCAATATTATCAACGTTTTTTGAGTTTTTTTTTAATATTGCTCCGTTCAATATCTAAGAAAAAAGCTTTTACGTTTTGATGTTGATTATTGTTGGTAATTGTTCATTATTCGTAAGATGTTTCGAGTGTTGTTGTTGTCGACTAAGAATTATGTTCAAGTATTATTAACAAATAGAATTGTCATATTAGAACAAAAAGTGTAATTTTACGTAATGTGAATCTTATATGCATTTTAGTTGCAAAAATATGTCTGATTTAACTTGTCCCTCTCTGCTTCATTATCTGAATTTGATTCGACTATATCTAGGAAATAAGACTGATTAAACACAGATGATAATATCATTTAAAAAATTTGTTTTTCTTTTTGTTTTTCTGTAATTACCTTTTGAAAAATAATTGAGATTTTTTACATCTATCATATTGTGAAATATTTTATAATGTTTCAATCTTATATTGAAATGAAATATAAAATAAATAATTCTTTCAAAATGAAAACAAAATAATATAACTTTTACGATTAAAGTAAAATAAAAGATAATTATCTGATTGCATTAATTTAACTATTGAAAAAATTTATTTTATTTATTTCAATTTTTATTTTTTTATTTTATTTTTATTGATAAACCATTCAATGACTTTTTCTTATATACATACAAATGCATTCAAATATTCACTGAAATGACAATAAAAATTCAGCGTTATGTAAAGCATTTTAGAAATCTATGTAGAACAACAGAGACAATTGTTTGTTTGTTTTTTTGAAATAAAATTCATTGTTTTACAGTATAATTTCTTGTTTATTGAACTTACGTGTCAAAAGAAAGTGAAAGTGTTTTTCTTGTAATACATTTTCACAATGCTGGTAAAGGCAGCGAACAAGAATGTACTCTATCATTATTAGTCTTATAAGGGATAGACAAATTTAATTCACACTTGGATGTAATCAAAAACGAAATTAAAACCACGACTGATCTCGTTCATACTAACTTCAATTCGTTGAATTTTCTTTACTATGTTAAAAATCTTTAAATTTATGATTGATTTTGCTTTATTACGGTTAGCATTCTTTTCTTTCATCTGTTTCAACTATTCGTACATAGTACAGAAATAGTACTATTTTGAAAAAATAAATCAAATAGAAGTAGAAAAAAAAATATGACCGACACGATATATGTAAGTAGTTGGAAATAATATGCAATAATCTGAATTTTTTGTAAATCATTTTTGAAGTATGAAAATTAAAAAGATTATAATACTCTCGAAATTTGAATCTATAAAAATTTCTGTTAATCTGTTTTTATATAACAAGATTTTTTGTTTTTCTCTATAAAACCAATATATCAACCCTATACTATGAAGAATTTACAATAAGAACGAAGGATTCAATTCATTTTATTGAAATATCAAGAAAATTTCAATAAAGTTCAAAAAGAAGAATTTATTGTTCCGCAAAAGAAAATTGTGCACTGAAATTGAGTTCTTAATCAGTACAAGCTTGTGTACCAGTATTGAAACGAAGTCCTTTGGCACATGATTTTCGTTCCAGTCGTAATCCTGTTAATGAAAATAAAAGTAATTAATATACAAAAAAAAATTTTTCTGATTGTCTTACCTCCGGCCAGGTTCGAGCATTCGAAATATTTTCCTTGCTCATACATCTCGTCGTCACGAAATTTGCCAGCAACAGGACAACTAAAATATCCTAGAGAACAGAAAATTTTTTTTTCTTATTGTTTATTAAAAAGAAATATGAGTAGATACGAGTATCACATTTGACGCCACGATAACCCAATAGACAATCACAGTAAGCAGTTCGTGTTGCACCAATAACAACTTCTCGACAAGCAGCACCATTCAAACATGAACTGGACGAACAAAAACCCAAAGTTCCTATAATAAAACTTTTTTTTTTCTTTGAAACTAAAATAGAAGAAAAATCTTTACCTTGTATTTCACAATATTCTCCCGAGAAACTAGCTCGACAGAGGCAAACAGATTCATACGGGCCATTTGGATTTCGAATAGCACAAGCGCCATTATTTTTGCAAATAACATTTCGACATAACTCTTCAGCTTAACAGAACAAATCAAATGAAAGGAGTAGGCAATGCAGTAACTAGTAAAACAAAAATATCTACGTTGGCTTTGATTACACGATGTACCAATAAAACCACTTGGACATTTACAAGTAGTACCGATAGAAACACCACCATTCGCACACGATGATTGAGCAGTTGTATTGGTAGAAGTGTTCGTTGGCGATGTGAATGGCTCGCCTATAACAAAAACAATGATGATTATCGTTTGAACAAAAAAAAAACGGATAAATACAATTTAAATTCAAAATTTCAACCTAATTTTTATTTACTACTAACCACAGTTAGGGTGTACTGTTTGTTCTGGTATTTGTGTTATTAGATTCAAGCAGAGACATGAATACCCCGTGCCAAGGTCATTGTTTTCAAGACATGTAATTAGCCTTCCAGTGTCGTTACGACATGGATTCTGTAAAGGATTGCTTCGACTGCAAATACCTGTGAATATAAAGGCTTTTATTTTTCTTTTTTTTTGCTATACTTTATTCTCATACGGCAAGGTCTATCGATCTCGTATCCGCCTGGACATGTGCACACTACAGAATTAGGACCAGACTGACTACATTGGTATCCATTTGCCAAGTTATAATGTACCGCATCCAACCCACAAGGATTGCTGCCATCATTGCAGTCTAAAGGAAAACTCATAAGATTATATATGTATATTTCATTGGTTTTACTAGCTGCTTCTCCTGATGAATATAAAAATACGGTAAAAACCAGAACGACAATCAACGAATTCATGCTTGTTTGAAGTTGTAAAATGTGAATGTCTTTTCGACGATTGATGAGAGTGTTTTTATATCTGAATAACAATTAATCATGGTTTTTTTTTCTTTTCGATAACAAGTATATCAAATTTAAGTGTTGTTAAATAGGTTTTAAATATCAAAAATATTTCAACATTATTTATAGCTAACATATCAAATATTTAAAAGAAAGGGAAGCATTTGATGTTATAATGACAAAATATTTGATAAATATAAAATAAGACATGGGAAAAAAGTTCGCGACATTTTTCCTATCGATATATCTTTGCAATTACTTGAGCAATTTCAATAAATAAATAGTCATTTTAAAAAGTATTTCAAAGTCCACTTATTGTGTAAAAATAAAGGCTCTAGCTCAAGAAGTAAGAGCGTCAATAAAGAAAGTTTGTTACATGCGTTTTTGGTTCTCAAAACATAACAGGTGAAGCAGATTAAACGACCGCATATTGTATTTCAATTTTTCATCACTTAATACGTTGTATTAAAAAACAAAATACGTCACAAGGTAGAGCATGAAAAGCTCTACAATCTACAAAGTAAAGCTCATTTTAATTTTGCACTTTTTGTTTTCAACAAAAGCAAACTACTGTGCGACTGATTTTCGACGCTGTGACACGAGCATTTTTTTTCTACACGACTAATTCATTTCATCTTTTCATCACCTAATACATTTTATTAAAAAAACCAAATATACCACAAGATGCAGCGTGAAAAGTTCTACAATTTACAAAAAATTTATTTGTTAAAATTACTCAAGTGGTTGCAAAGATATATCGATAGGAAAAATGCCACGAACTTTTTTCTCATATATTATTTTCTTTACTACTTCTCGAATTTGAATTAGATATTGAAATCTGAGAAAAAAAAATAAATATATTACTTTGTTTTTGTTATGACAATTGATCCACATTATACATTGCCGATTACAATGGATCATACACCTAACCGATCATCTTTTTTTTTTTCTAATATCTCAACATAATTTCATCAAATAGAGTTGTAGTTTTCGTTCAATTGTAGCTTCATCTTCATAGTTTATCTTCTGAAAATATCAACTCTTTATGTCGTGGATTGACTCGACCAAAACACAAGAATCAAAACTGATGTGCTTTGATTTTATTCAAAATTGATCATACATTCACATGCAAAAATATTAAGACATATTACTATAAAAAATCTTTCATTACATTATTCTCAAGTAGAAATTGCATTACTTTACAATATTTTGACTTTCAAAGCAAATGAAACTTCGTCAAAACATTTCTCAAATGTTTCTTTTCATTCACAAGGTCAGAATGTAGACAACAACCTTCGTTCGTTTTTGTATAGAGTGTATAATCAATCATGAGCATTATTATGCATAAACAGAATTAATTATAAATGATAGATGTAAGTTATCAATTTTTATGTTATACTGTAAATAGTTTGAAACATATTTATCTCAGAAAATGCAACAACATTGAACAAATTATTATATAGATCATTGAAGAAAGTTCAAGCAAACATTTCATATATTTCTTTGTAAAAATTATTCCCAAATTTGTCTTTACAGGTTACAAATGTCAAGAAACATAAACACACGTAATTATAATACTTTATCAAGAATTTCATTTGTGAATAACATGATTTCATAGAATCAAAACATCGATATAATCTGGTTTGAGCACTTCTCTCTAGAGTGAATCTTTATGAAGCAAATATGTATTGAGGTACTTTAGATAATCCTGGAAAACTTACCGCTGAAAACGTTTGTCCAAGAAAGTTATTATTAATAATACTAGCATTTGCAAATGTGACACAAAGCAGAGAAAGATTTTCACTGCATGCATGTATGCTCATTTAATAATACTACGAATTCAAAGTATTTTTCAAAAATTATATACTACATTGAATAGAAGAACTTTTTAAACTACAAAATATCTTAACTTGTTGAAAAAAATGAATTTCATCATTATTAGTAATATGTGACAGAGTATGAATATAGAAACGTAAAAAAATGCAGCTGTAACTGATTGCAAAGTTCAGTACAAATTCTAAATAGTGTATATCCTTCTTTGAAACCTCGACATAATGACTGAACAGAAATGGCTTTTTTCCAAACATTGGAAGATTTTAAAAACAACCGATTTTAGAAAGATATGTACTTTGTAGGATTTTGATTTTCTTGAAAAATTACACTATAGATATAGTTGATTGTGTGAAGTCTATTCTGACATTTTTCTGTCATCATGTTAGAAAGTTATTTGCTAATTATGGTCTTACTAATTAAACTTAAAAGAATTACTTATTTCTTGGACTATATTTTTACATATATTGATGGTAAAAAAAAATTGCTTAAAATAGTAGACCTTATAAATAATGACACTCATTGGAAAGATAGTCATGTCTCGTTTTGCCTAACATTGCTCATCTAATTTCCTGTTCTATCGACAAATGTTGATCCGATGTACTTTTACCAATGATTTTTTCTAACAATTTTCAACTAATCATTTTACTAAAACAGATAAGCGTAGTTATCTTGAAGACACTTGATCACTAATAATACTTGAAAATTTTATATAAGATAGACATCATTATAATTGTAACATGACGACGATTAGAGTATTTCATCCTTTCATTCATTATAATTTTAATTCCATGAGATGGTAAATTCCTATTTCCGTGAAATTCAACTGAAATGATTATGAAAAAAGTGTGATGGAAATTAATTTCAGTGCTTTGAAAAATAGACGCAGAAAATTGATTTTAATATAAAATGAATATAGAAATGAAGTGTATATCCTTGGAAGTCCGTTGAGTTGAATGTGAGTGTGAATGTGAAAGCGCGATGGGTGTTGGGTGAAGACAAAAGCCGCGCTTACACCCTTATATCAGTTTTATTCTTTTTTTTCTCACTTGCATAATTGTGAACTAGCTAACATTTTACTATAAGTATATTTTAGAAATGAAAGAGAAAAGAAACTAACTACTGAATAGCGTCGCTAGTCATCAATGCTAATATTCAAGTTACTTAATGAAGCATATGCGAATAGCTAACAGTAATAAGACGAATAATGTGACCCAATCCAACTCAACCCCAAAGATATACACTTAATTTCTATATACTTTACATAAATAAAATGAATTTCTCAGCATGAGCTAGCACGAAACGAGGAATTGTATCTCTTTAAATGAATGTATAAAAATGAATTTTAGCTGTACATCATCGATATTTAATCTACAACATTTTAGCAGTATTCTTTAGCTTGTATCATTCATTAGATAATGCTGTGCAATAATTCGAATTTCTTGGAAATTGAAATTTATCATGACCTCTTTTAGTCAATGTTATGATGACATTTCTACTATATATTACTAATAATTATAACACATTCAAATAAGTTTGAAAATTTGTATACATAAATTACAAGTGTAATTACGGAAATGAAAATCACTACCAATAAAATCAGCATAAATAAAAAAAAGACCTGTTTGCAATCCAATATTATATGAAATATCTTATCTATGAATAAACATTTTTAAATTTATCGATTAAAAGGATTTTGATGAAAAGAACATAAAACACTGTTTAATTAAAATTTTACTATTGAACACATTTTTTTTTGTTTAAAAAAACGTTTAGTATATATTTCTATGATTACTACTTGATTGATTTATTAGAGTAAGTTTTTAGGCATTTGAAATTAAGAATATAGAGATTTATTTGATAAGATTTAATAAACAAGTAACATTCATCAAGACTTGATTCATTTGATGGGTAGACTCACAAGATCGAGATATGCAAATACATATATTTAGACAGAAACGTACGTGTTCACTCAAGTATTAGATAAATACAAGAGGTGACTTAACATATAAAAGTGACTCGTAATATAAAACTTGATTTTTATGTTTATAAAGAAAAAAAAAGTCTTATCTTGAATATGATGCATTGGTCTAATGAAGTGCAGTGTATGTGTAATATTATTACTTTTTTTGTCTACAGAAATTTTATCAATTTTTTTTTATTGTTGTATTGTTATAACTATATTCGTTTTTGTTCTTTAATATTATTCTTAAAATTTTAATTTTTAATTTTAAATGATAATTAAATATAATGAATAAAAATTCTTTTTATCATATCTATGCATGTTATGCAATCATAAATAGTAGGTATATTGATTTAAGAGATTTTATGTTAAATAAAAAAAAAACTCGAAATTAAAAATGTTTATTCTGTATTTTCTTCTTGTTTAGAATAAAATGTATGTTATATATATATACTGATTTATAAAACATAGAAATCAATACAATTAGTTATATTAGCGCTATTTCTATTATAAAAAAAAAGAAAACAATTAATATTACATTATTCAAAATAATATGATTTTCGTTAATCATAATTATATGTTCAGAGTCACACTTTAAGTTTCTCGTAATTATTACATCACATCCTAATGTATATAGTATGAACCAATCAATCAAACCGTTGAATAATTTAATAACCATGATCGTCACTTCTCAAGGCATACTACTACTCTTCAGTTAATTTGAATCCTAATGCGTTAGTGCCCTTTATTGTTACATTACGAGGTCGTTTTTACCATAGTTACGAAATGATAACTATATTACAGACGGAAAGACACAAGTGAATTCTCGTTTCGAGACTCCTTTTTTTTTGCAATCTAGAGAAAAAAAAACTATCTCTTTTTTGTTGATTTTTTCTATATCTTTTAGTTTAACGATAATATTTATCATTGCAAAGAGAAAAAAAAACAATATTAACATTTTATTACTTTTTAGTCGTTAGAATATTAAGATCTTTATTAAAATTTACAAAATTCTTATGGATTATTTATTTTTATTACATTTATTATTTGAACAATTGAAAAATTATTTTCATTTTCTTTTTTTCATTCGTTATTCTCATAAAATCGACATTGATTTGACCTTTTCATTTCAATAAATGTTTGTTATGAAATAGTAGGAGTCCAT